TTGTCCTAGAGAGGGTGAAGCCAGAATGCTCCTTGGAGTCAAAGATTCTGAAGCTTTATCTGACATACTTTGGGCATGTTGCAAAGAGGGACTGGTCCTTGGAGAGGGACATCATGTTTGGGAGAGTGGAGGGACAGCGCAGGAAAGGAAATCCTCAATAAGACGGATCAATTCTGTAATTGGGGTGGTGGGAGTGAGTGTGCCAGGGACGATGAGGTTGGCACAGGATAGAACAGCATTTAGGGGTCTTGTACACAGGGTTGCTATGAGTTGTAAGCAACTAGACATCACATAACAAGACCAACAACTTCCTACAACTAGGGAGCACTACTGGTGCCTAGTGGCAAGAAACTGCACTGCAATCCCAAAGGCATGTGGTTCCAAATCACCCTCTCCGTGGGAGGATGGACACTCTCCTTCTGTGAGATTAACTGCCTCTGAAAAACCTCACCAGAGGGTCAGCTATGAGTCGGTTTCAATTTGAGGGTGCACAATAGCAACAAAGAATAATAAAGGCTGGTATTAAAATTATGCTTTGAAGTTCAACATTGTTTCCATTTATTCTGTTGCCATCATTTTCTGCTGTAAAGGTGAATATACCTGTATATATCACAAGAGCATTAATCTTAAGAGAAGTAAGAATTTATCACCCAGAATGTCATCAAACTTCCTCTCAATGTGAAATGGTGGTGGTGGTGTTATTGTTATGTGCCATCGAGTTGCTTGCTACCCAGATCAACCCTTTGTACAGCAGCTCTGACAGAACCTGCCCTCTCCTGAGTAAATCACACTAATTCCAACACACCAACTCCCATATACAAGAATTTTTTTTCCTTTTAAACTGAATTTTTGATGAAAAGAAAACTGATGACTGAAACCCTAATAAACACTAATTCTAATTACTCTCAATGGCAGTCTAAAACATCTGTGATACACTTCTACATAAGTCAAAATAAATTTTATTTTCACTGACATTACTTTGACCGTTTTTTGTTAACATTATCTCATGTAGATTCATCAGCTCAAAATTAATTAGTATTACAGAATAGTGTATTCCATCCAAACAATTCATCTTTGTTGGCTCACATGCCTTACTGCTACTGGCATGCCACTACCACAATGGGCTTAGTGCCATGGTAACAGATGGGCATAAACACAGGCTTGCCAAAGAGTCAGTTTGTGCATCAAGTCTGAATATTAGCATTAGATTTACCTCCAAGAAATTTGTCACTATAGTAGAGTAAATACAAGTTCTCTACAACTGTGTTAATAAGATATGCCTTGATGCTAGATTAATTTTAAAATTCTGTTTTTAAAAAAACACTCTAAGGCTACAGAAGGCAAGTTTTCCATCTGATACATTTGGATCAGGCTTCTATGTAGGGAATTAAAAGAAACCAATATGCCATCTCTAACTCAAACAAGTTTTATCCCTGAAACACTTGAATATTTTAGTTTTATAAAAAAAAATATCTTTTTAAAAAGTCACATGGTACTCCTACTCCCAAGTTTCCTGA